TTTTTTGAGTTTTTTTCATGTTATTTTTTGCTTGAAAATATAAGATAAAATATCGTTAATTTTACTTTGCTTTTCAGAATTTTTTGTTTTTGTATTCTTTTATGTTATTTATTGCTCATTTCACTGTCTTTAAGATATTGAAAAGTTTTGAGTGATTTTTTTAGGAGATAAAGTTCTTAACCTTCTTTATACCATTTGAGTTCTTAAGATTTTGCAAAGGGAAGTTGGTTAATTTATTTATTAGGATAATGTATTAAGGGATATTGCTTATTTCATTGTAATTTTATTATACGTGATAACTTTTTTTTATGAAGTTGTTCTGCGGAGTAAAATTCTAAGCGGTTTTTAAATTTAACGTTTCGTGTTCCCTTCAGCCATTTTCCCGGTGCATTTAAAAGCCAGACGAAGGCTGGCAGCGAAGCTGCTAGTTATTGCATAAATCATGTTCGTAAGCTGAGTAAATCACAGAGTACTATACATTAATGTAATAGCTTCTCTGTACGTTTATCAATTATCTTGTCTGTCACTTTATAATATAACTAATTATTTATAAGTTTGCTAACTTAAGCGAAAAATCTTAGATAAGCGCAGATTTTATGTAAAAATTTAAAACATTAGTATGTAAAACTTCTTGGATTTTATATAAAAATCTCCGGAAATCTAGGCTTTCTTCCTTTTCTGAATGCTATACGTCGACATGTTCCTTTTTTTATATACTAGACTTATTCATTTATTATCAGTATGCTTCTCAGTGAAAGGAGAGAAAAATATGTCTCTCGCATTCACACAAAAAGTCTTAAGTAACGGAATTAAAATCATCTGACGTCAAATACCCAGACTAAAGCAAATTTTCATTTCACCAGTTGGTCAAGGGAAAGTATTTTCCTTTTTATTCTTTCTTCATGTTACGTACCTTTCAACTGGTTTCCTAAATACGTGCTTTTATTTTTTAACAATTAATCCAGATGTGATAAAAATCGTCATGAAAACATTGGCTCCTGGAATCCTTGATTTTTTTTAATTTTTTTATTTTTAAGCATATTAAATTTATTGGGAAAGGGGCCCATGAAAATTTTTTGCATAGGGTCCCAAGTATTCTAGTTACGCCACTGGTCAATACTCGTAAAATAATCGAAAGCGGCTATGGCTACTTCGATTTTACTCACCATTGATTTCGCAATTCTGAATTTTTGAAGGAATTCTTTTGCTTTATTAATGTATACCTTAATCCATGAAAAGATCAAAGTTTCATTTTCAGTATTTGGATTATTTTTTTTGTCCAAGCTGATTTATTTGTATTATTTGGTAGCGGGGGGGGGGGAATCAGAGGCTTTAAGTTGGAATTTATTGCTTGCTTCTTCTTTTTTGGCTTTCGCTGCACCGATGGCTTTTTGTATATTATTTGGGTGTTTAAAACACAACCCTTATGAATAGAGACGTGATTTTCTCCACAAAGGGCGCAGCAAGCAAGTTTATTATCCTCTTTCTTTTGGGTACAGGTATAAGTTTCATGAGGTTTAACGCATTCCATGCACCTCGCTGAATAATGAAATAGCTTCCGTGTATGCCCATATCTTTGATATTTGTGGCATTGCACGGGGCCTTTTCTGGATTTATATGGGGTGATAAAGACATCTAATCCTCTCAGTTTCGTTATGTCATAAACTTTTTTTCCTTCAATATCTCGTTTGCATTGAACTTGAAAAAACGGTAATTTAAGAATATTTTTATCTCTTAACATAGTAAGCTGACGAACTTTAAGAACAGGAATACCTTTTTGTTGAATTTCTTGTTTAATTATTTCTGGATTAGAATTCTTAGGGAGTTTTTTAATAACCACTTTTAGTTGTTTCCCATTATTAGCTTTAAAGCTGTGATATTGTATCCCACGCTCTTGTAGGAGGCTAGTGATAAATCTAGCTTAAGTGATCAGGATCATAGACTCGGATAGTTAAGCTTTCATGTTTCTTAAATAATGAGTGATACCATTACTTTCAATTTCTTCCTTAAATGTATCCCAATACCCGGTGAAATCATCGAGAACAATTGGCGGTATGTGTTGTCTTTTTATTTGAGAATTCTGATTCACAGGAATTTCCTCGTCCATTTGGTCATCATCACTAAGATTAGCAAATTTATTCGACTGAGTTGGTTCATTTTGATTCTCGTCCGATGGACGTTTACTGAGTTACGAGGGGGGAATAAATCCTTCGCTGTTAGTTAGTGTGCGTTTTTTCTTTCTAGTAACTTTAGAAGTGGAAGGAACATTTTTATCAACTTTTTCATGCAAACTGTTTTCTTTTGTTGTTTGTGTTAAGTTTGATTTCTTTTTGAGATCCTCAATAAAAAGTACAGTATTATCAATTTCATTCTGACCCTCTTGCTAATATTCGGCGCGGCGTCTTTTATCATCTTCGGGGCCTTTACTGTCCTTAAATGTGGCCGTCTCAGCAAAAAATCTTTTGATATTTAATTCACTAAGTTTCCTTTTAAGTAACTCAATGATTGGTATAAGGACCGAATTTAAATCTGACAAAATAGTGGAGCAAAGAAAATATCAACATTTAAATTCAAACAAATTCTAACGAATCCTAGCGTGCATTTTCTGCTAAGGCGTGCCTTTTATAGGTGTGCATTTGCTGCTAAGGCGTATTTTCATTATGATGCAATGTCAAAAGTTAATATTCCAACATACGACAATTATTTAGCTCATATGTTTCCATAGTTTAGGGAAAAGAAACAGCAGAAAAGAGAACAAATTAAAAAAATTCCTTTACATTATTCCCTAGTCTCCATATGCAACCTAAAGGAAAAGTTGCTGAAGAGTAGTAGTTTCTCTTTATAATGGCAGCTAAAAGGAGATGGAAATGCGTTTGGATTTCCCGTCTTTTTAAGTGAAAACTTTCCAAACTTCCCAGTCTCTCAAAAGTTAAATGTTTAGCCTTTTCAGTCAAATGTTAGCCTCTCAAAAAGTTTAATCCTTTATTATTTATGGAGAGCGAATATGCATATCGTGCAGCAAACATGAATGTTGCCACTCACTGCAATAATGATTTACACCATATATATTGAGAGCTTTCCATCGTAATAGAAAAAAAATGTCAATTGTATCAAAATGTTGGGATATCTAAGGTAAACGGCCCGCCTTATAACAGATAAAATCACTCCCTGAGGGTGTCAAACATTTTGGGCAAATTTTGTAGCAGCAAATTTTAATAGTCCTTACAAATTTGCTTTTAAAACAGTTAAATTTTTCAAGCCCTCATTCATTCTAAAATGTCTGCAGTTTAAACAACCTTAATTTTTTTATAAGAACATATAATATTTTGAAGTTCCGGAAAGTAGTCCTATTTATTCCCTTTGCAGATAGCGAGAGTCAAATGCAATGAAATGTTAGTGGAAAACATTTTATTATTATTATTATTATTATTATTATTATTATTATTTGGTGTGAAAGACTGAAAAATACCGCCTTAAAATTATGCTATTGTTTCAAAAGAAGAGCATTACCACGGTTCGCGTGCTGTTTTAGAGGTGGTAGTTGGTGAAAGTCAAATTATAGTGCATTGATGATGTTTAATAGTGTAGTAAAAAGTAAGCAGTTTTAGAATTGTATTTTATGATGGTTTCAATTGTTAAATCAGTATATAATGTGCTAGTCCTTATAAACCAAGAAGCATTTAAAATTAATAAATAAATAACGTTGCATTTGGCGCAGAGTTAAGACGAAAACGCAATCGATTTCGAGGGCAACGCGTCCCTCTGCATCAATGTGCAAAAGGATCCCCTTTTTAAAATTAAATTTTGCCAATAGATGGCGTTACGTTCTAGTTCGCTTTACTGCAGTAGGGTATAAATTAAGGCTTTCTAGACCTATTTAGAAGCCTTAGTATAAATAGGACGTTCCACCCGCTGCTTTCCACTGAGACTAGGGTCTCTATTTTACGAAGTCTTTATATATCTTGCGAACTGGAATGTTCCCTGAGGTTTGGTACGTGTGGTAACTCCATCCGGGGATTGTCTGAAGTGCTCGAAAAAGCAAGACATATTTCTGGTAAATACAAAAGTGTCAGACCATTAAAACTTTTCAGTCTTTCCAGTGTTGCAAAGTTCTTTGCTTCTGATGAAGTGATACCTGTTTGCCATCGAAATCAATTGAGTTTTTGTCTACATATACGCCAAATACAAGGTTGTTCATTTAGTAATTTTAGGTTTCACTTTTGAGTGTGTCTTTTCTGATTCAAGGAAAATTTGCAATTTCTCTAAAGGTGTTAAAGCTTACAAGAAAAAAGTATCACCGATTGTTTCTGCTTTCAGTACTTAAAATCATAAATCACACTTCAGCACGAAGTAGCCTTTAATTAAAGACTCGCATCATATATTTAAAGATAGCCTCTATCATTAAAACACTATAACTGCGGTGATTATTTACACTATAGAATCAGTTTCAACGAAAACAAACTTTATTTTCACGAAAGAAACAAGGACGCTCCTCGCGTTGTTACATCGTTCTCAAACTTGAATATCTCCTACTGTTGCCATACACAAGTAGCTAAATTATACTAACAAAATAAGTAAGGCATTATTAACAAAAGGCGATATTTTGCAAAATTTGAATTTTATAGAAATTTTTTTTTTTTTTTTTTTCTGTAGCATGTCTCCATTTGGGGAAGGTTTAACGTAAAGCCGATTGTCTTAAGTAATATCATTTTATTGTGCAGAGAAAAATTGCTATGTATTCCGAAAATAATTCTTAAACTAGTTATGGCAGTAATGAATTTATTTTTGAGTTTGACAAAATGAGGTCTAAAAGCCAGTTTGCTGCCAAGTGTATTAACCTAGTATAGTATTTATGCACCGTTAACTACATCAGTTTTCTTTAAATTCCCGTATAGCACTCATATTTTAGTTGGCGCCTTTAATCTGGTGTCTAAATTTAAATGCACTTCTACCTTATTGTCATTGAACAAGACCTTTTGACAGGTCTTGTCTCACTCAGAGCGCACCGCTGTTTTAATTTATCGTAAATATTACAGCAGCTGAATATACCTCAACTCTACTTATGACTCCATTTTCCGCATTTTGAGAGGTGTTTGAGGTAAAGTTAACGAAATTTAAGTTTGTACATAAGGATTTATCTAACTGAAAGTATAAAAGTAAGTTATGTTTTTTAAGTTTAGAGGTTTTTAAAGAAAAAATAAGTATGCATTGTTATGTTTTTTAACTGATATAACTGTTTTTGGTAACACGTGGCCATAGCTACTAGTAGTCTTTTTTTGACACGTTTATTGTTAAATACCTTTAGTGTGTTGTTAATAATAATAATAAGTATTAAGCTATTTTTTTTGTAACTGCATTGATACATGTAGTGAATCTGGTTTATGGGCTACTGTAATGCATTTAGAGAATTCAGAAACTGCCGTAAATATCTTTGCACTGATCTTTGAAACGTTTGTATGTCCGACGTTTCTTCTTTGAATAGTTAAAGAGTGAATTGTGACTTCTGAGATTTAACTTCGTCGAATAATTAAGAGTGCAGGTACGTAATTGAAACATAGGTAATATTTATTTTGTTGTTTAGAATTCTGAAGTTCGAAAGTCCCCTCCCCTTTCCAGACTAATTTTTATTTAATGCATTTGAGTTGTAAGAGACTCAGAATCTTACTTCTATGTAGTGATACGCCGTCCTTATTATGATTTGCTTGTAATCCGAATGTAGATGATTTATAAATGTCGGTAAAACTGGAGTAGAGAAAATATGTCTTTGATCTTAATACTTGTTCATAATTATTCTCAAGTTAACTCTCAAGTTCTCAAGTGAAAAATCGGTCGATGTGTACATGGATAAAGTCAAGAGAGTGCGCGATACTATTTTTGTGAAATTCTGGGATGTTTTTTCAAGTGAAAATAGCCTATGTGTACATGGATACCGAGTATGTGCAATTCTTAAAAACGCGCCATCATTTGGTGGTCAGAGATGAGTACAACTGGCATTGAGATTTTTTGTAATAACTTGCAGGAGTAAGCTCGGGTAGCCTAAATAGTATGGTTGTATGGTTGCTTGCAAATTAGATCATTAAGGTTAACTGAGCAGATTGTATTCTGGGAAGTAATCCAGTATACATGCAGTATACAGTCTGTCTGTCATAAGAAAATCTCTCACCGGTTAGACTTCAGCAGTCTGTTGCCGCAGAGACGAGCCTTGACCCATTTTCTGTAGGGGTGTCTTGAAGGCGAACAATAAACTCTTTTACTTTCAGCTAACAGACGCCAAAAATAAAATAGCAATAAAGCAACCATTGGTTTTCCCCCTATTTGAAATGTACTAGCCTTGTTGTTATAGCTGTGTATTTGAAAAAGAAATTTGTGTCCAGTTGGTCATTCATTGCTTGATGGAACATTACTGAAACAGAAGTTTGAGGTTAAAGGTGAAAGCTTTTTATCGCGGCAATTGACAAAATAGAAATTAATTTTGACGAGAACTGAAATCGTTAATGCAGTGAAATCAATTTCCCCTGTGACCCTCATAATTTCACCATGGTCTGTCACTGGTGAATAAATGATGAATTTTGCATAGGATTATCAAAGTGTTGTCGTGAAAGATGTGAAATGGGAAAAAAAAAGAATCTTTTCAGTTGCAAAGAGTGTAACTACAGCATTTTAGTGTGAGTGATTGCAAAAAAAATGTGAAAATTTCATATAAATGAACTAACTGCTTAAGGATGGAAAATTGACTTCAAAGCTCATTTGAAAAAGGACTAAGTATAAAATCCACAGATTTCAATTTTTCTCCCACATTAAAAGAGCTCTTACATGGACAGCAATTTCCCTTCTTGAAAGAGATTCTTTCAGTAATATCTTAGCTATTCAAAGACTGAGTAAAACTAGTATCCTAGGAAGAATAGCAAATCTTCAAGCCAGTGGATGATTGTCGTTATAAAGCATGGTATTTACACAGAAAGAATGCAAGCAGGAACTATCTGAAATAAAAGTTAATGGGAGGGGGGAAAATATTCAAGAACATTAATTTTAAATTTCCCTCATATAAGTAAGTATATTATGTGTTAGTTACTTCAATGGCCATTTATCTGTTCTAAATGAAAGTAATTAGCAGAAAAAGAATTATTTGCTTTTCTGTTTGTTATTCTGACGATAAACTTGCGGCAGAAAGCTTGAAATCAATTAAATTGTTACACACATAATATACTTTCAGAAACCAATTTAGTATTTAATAAAAAACACATCATTGTATTATTTCTTTCAAAATGCAATTATATGTCGAAAATTAAGCTTATGTTTATTGAAAGCAAGTCTCATTTAAAGTGCCAAAGAGCTGCAAAGTCACAAGCCACTATTAAGGTGTTGGAGAGCCACAGTTTGGCCGTGCCTGTTCTATCTGGAAATAAATAGTATGACACACAGAAACTAAATTTTGGGAATATTGAAGCATTTTAAGGAGATAATTCAGTAATAAATATAGTAATAAGTATAACTTTACAGCTTAGTTTTTCTGATTCTTCATTTCAGCAGTGATTTTATTTCTGATGTCTGCATATTGTTGAACGGTGAACAGCAGAAAAAGGTCTGATGCTGTATTACTTTTCTTAAACTGAATCACTGACACTGAAACTGAATCTATTTTGCCATTATTTGAATTTAGCATAATTATTTCCTTGATGTATTTCCTTTTCCTTCATTGTTATTTTTTTGGCTATTCCTTCAAAATTCATATGGGTTTGAAAGAATCCTTGCGTTCTTCCATGTGCTTGTATTAATTACAGAGTCAACCTTCTAGCCAATTTTGCTACTCCTGACATGCCATGTGACTGGCTGTTATTGATGTGGCACTGTCTATATAGAGCAGCACAGTATGCTAGATATTCCAGAGAAGTAATTCTGCATGACTGTATGTTTGAATGGCTTCAACTGCTACTTTTCCGGAATGGTTAGCTTTTGGCCCTTTCTTTTACCATGATACAGTAGCCATAAAAATGTTAATTTTTCACTGCATGCTCTACACACAATTGAACTTTTGCCATAACACAAGAAATATGTGACACATTAACCTAAACCATTTCTAAAGTGTCTGTGTAAACGCTAGAATTAAATAAACTTGCATACGAATGAATCATCTTCAGAAAAGGAATGATTTTAACAATTAAAGAGATTCATATTCTAAAATGGTAAAAAACAGTTTATATCTTGCCAGATTTAAGAGAAGGAATAACTGAGAAGGTTTACCATTGAATCGATTCTGATTAAGAGTTGTAGGGAAAAGATGGCACAGGATTGACAATCTTCCTGCAGTAGGCCAGACACTTGTTTCATCCTAAGTCAGTATCAAGCCTACAAAGATACCTTAAAAGTGATTTAATCAAATTTTTTTTGAACTTTTTTATGTCCCAAGCTAAGTTTACTGTAACAGGGGGCTCGGGACAGTTTCTTGTTGGTCTCTTAGGTAGGAATTTTAATGCTTGAGGCTGAAGACTATTTTGCAACACCCTGGAAAGTGTGCTCTTTTATGGGATTCTGCTAATGGGTAGGGGCAGATTGTCTGTATTTTGAATCCGGAAGGCTTGTTTGCGACTTTAGTATTTTCCAGCGAATATTTTGTTGATGAGTAAAATGTTATAGGAAAAAAAAAGAATAATTTGTTCACATGTTTTTTAGATGTTCATTTTATTTACAGAAATATATTGGCAGCGATTGAACTTGTGTGTCAAGTTTGTGCAATGCATAGCGCGGCTAATGGGCATGGCACTAACGTCCTTAGCAATCTCTCGAGTGGTTGCGTGCTGATCTTCCATGAGTTCTCGCAGGTGGACCTGACTTTAGTTTAGTATCAATTTGGTTAATTAACTGGATTGTTGATTTTCGAACTCTTATGCATTTTGCAAGTTCTAATAGTGCCATTTTTTTTAATAATATACAATAGAAATACGCCCAATAATTAACAATAAATACAAAATGAGAACCTACCTTTTATTTCCTTGCAGGCATGATTTAGTAATCCAAAACGTTTTATTCCAGTAGTCCCTTCTATTTAATCATCGATGCACCATAAAGAAAAATCCAATAATTGTTACAACTACATCCAGAACAATGAAGCTTAATGTAGCAGGCTTAAGTCAAGATGGTAATTCAAGATTCACCATATTCTGTAAATATTGTAAATAGCTTAATGTACTAACATTTCTATTGTGTTGTTTTTTGAATTAGTAAAGGACGATCTGTCCACAAACAAGAAAAAAAAAAAAAAAAAAAAAAATGTAGAAAGGCAGCTTAACCGCCTGATTACTAGCGCAACAACCGGGATGATATCGCAGACCTATAGTGCCATTAACTTGGTTTGGTAGAGCAGGAAAAGTAGTAAGACCACTTACTCATATTATTAAAGAAATAAAATTAGCAGTTTCTTAGAATGTATAGAAGTGTTAAAGATTTCTAAATGCAATCAGTTAATTAAATCTGACAATTCTAAAATGACTCGTTGAAGAAATTGATTTAAAGAGAAAGTTATTCAAAGATACATTGTTGAAGCATTTACAAGTTAAAAGATGAAGTAGAAACTAGATAGAATACTGATTTGTTTGACACAAATAAACTTAGAAAAGATGCGAAAGAGAACGAAACTGATGTAAATTAATCAAAATATCTAGAAAATTTTCAAATTAAAAACGTGCATAAACATTTTGCTCTTTGTAACATAAATAACAACAAAACAAGCATTTTGTAGCTTTTAATGTATAACTATACTAATATCATTTTAGAATCAATGTCATAAATATTTGTCATATGGGACTATTATAATTATTATGTAAAATACAAATGTTTCAAGAAGTTTTATTTATAATTTAATGCTAATTACTTGAAACATTTTATGAAGTTAATTTTCATATCATATCGTTTCAACCGCTGGTTTGGCACAGATAAGATATTGCATCAGAAATTGCAGTGGAAACAAACTTTTTTCACACTGAAATAGAAAATTCTTATATTTGTTTCTACTCATATCTTCTAAAGCATTTATATTATATGCAGTGTAGTAAGCACTTTTTTGAAAACTGGGGGAAAAAAAATCCATGTACTTACTACAGTCAAAAGTCGTTAATTCGGACACCCATAATTCGGAATTATCTATAATCTGGACCTCAAAACAAAAAAACTTTCTGCGCATGCGCCTCGTGGACACATGCGCATAGGCGTTTACGCGTGCGCGTAAGACCTTTTACTGCACATATGAGTGTGCGCAAGTGCAGAATACGTTTTCGCGTGTGCCTTTTATGTATAATGGTCGTATAAGCTAAATAATTATCTATTTCAGTTAATGTTGATGATTGCGTTGTTGCTTAATTTTCAAATTGGATATTATTTTTTGCAGACTGTAAGAGTAATTTTATAAAAGTAAGTTTAAACTTTCGATTATATCAAATAGAATTTCCTATATATATTTGTGAATATGTAAAGGATCTAAAGCGAAAGTATGTTTTGAAATCCGAAATCTGTTTATCAATTTCACGCTGCTCGCGGCGGGCGCGTAATGAATTGGAAGTTGGGTTGATCTTTACATTATGGTAACTTGGCAATTTTTTAGCGAAAATTTGGCAACCAACTCTCCTACAGCAACCCTCTATTTTTTTTTCCCCGCCGCCATTTTGTCTTCACGAAGTAAAGACATTTTTCTTTTTATCTACTGAACAGTTCTTCCAACAATCTAGTAGCCTAATTACACTTATGCTAGAAATTTTATCAAACAAAACTGCTTAATCATGACAAATATTCACTGCAAAATTGGGAAAAAGTGCACAATACCATACTCCTTATACGTTTTTCAAAATAACACATACACATAAACCATGTACACGGCGACTTATTTTTACTTAAAAAAACATCCCAGAATTGCACAAAAATGGCATTGCGCACACTCTTCACTATATCCATGTACAACTGCTTTCTTTCTCATAAATTAGAAAAATTTCACAAAAATACATGACAATTTTCTCAATCTTTAAACAAACCCGGTAAAAAGAACATATATGAAATTACCTGATCGCGAAAAAGTATTTACCCTTTACAAATATGAACATTTCCACATATAAATAAAATAAAATATCCAAAAACTTTTACCTCTAAATCATCTATTACATTATACACGTCACCAACGAATTCATACCGCAAGCATTACAAATACTTAGTATCAAATATTTAAATTATTTCCATGCACGTTTATTTCAACTTAAACGTATACCAAATTCCTACAAACATAAAATTCACAAAATAACTATCATTTCATTAAAATATAATTAAATTCAAAAACACTACTTAAAATATAAATGAGCACATACATTAAATTAATAAAAATTACCTTACAATCCTAATTACTTTAAACTAAATCATTGCTAATAACAATTTTCCCAATAATACCAAATTCCTTTCCACCTTACATTTAGAACAATGCATAAAAATAATATCCTCAAATAATTAAAAATACTAACTTACCTAATCTTCTTCAGAATCTTGATTACGTGGCGGATACACTTTTCTAATTCATTCAATAAAATTATTGAAAGATTTTTTTCTGCGAATTTTCCATCCATACTACCTCCGCTAAATAAAAGCAAACTTCTCTTTATCACAATGCCTAAATACCCATTTCAAATTCACTTTAGTTAGGGCCATGGGATCTAAAAATTAAACAACACTGTTTCACACAACACAGAATAAAGCTAAATACAAAATTTCCACATTTTTTCCCGATTAAAGAACCGTAATTCGTCCATTAATATCGCATGACATATCCCATGATATCTCTCATTTCCCTCACGCAAAATAATGCGTAATCGGAACTGAGTACTGCTCACATTATTACCAAAGTCCCAGGTAGTAACCTTTATCGCCTCCAAAATGTCGCCAAACTACCAGTTACCATATTGTAAAGATCAACCGGAAGTTGATCTGTCAGCACTATCCTTATCTTCAGAGCAGATGTTTTTATTTTATTTTGGCTTATAATTCCTTATCAAATGTAGTATTTCATATCGATGTGCTCCGTCTTTGATATGATTTAAAACAAGCTCCTCGTGATTATAGTTCGCTTCCGATAGCGAAGAAAGTGACAGAGGTTATTGAAAACGAAAAAATTTCGATTGACAAATTAGTCAGTATTCTCCACACAGCAATTATAGGACTTGAACAGCGGAACTTTGTAACTGAACAAGAAATTATGTCTGTTTAATAGAATTAAAGAGAAAGTATTATCACATGAAACGAAGCAAAACTTAAACAACTTATATTGAAAGAAATGTTTAATAAAGTAAACAAATAAATATTAAGCTTTTTCTTTTTTGCAAATTTTGATACCCTTTAGATCATAATTGTTCTTTATTTCATAAATTACGGTTTCATACTTTTAATTTTAGAATTTCTGCATGCCATCTTACGAGATTTAAACTGATGATCTATAATCCGGAAAAATCTATAATCTGGAATCGTCGAAGTCCCGACGAGTCCGGATTAACGACTTTTGACTGTACTGTGATATTTATTCAAAATTTTATGTGGTAACTTTTTTATGGAATGATTCTGACAGTGTTAAAAAGAAATTTTGAAAAGTATAGTTTGATTTGAAAGTGTAATTCTTATTTTGGTACATAAAGTATATTTTATTTTTTGTGTATATTTAACTTTGTAATGTTATCTCATTTGCACTTGTATGAAACTGGTAAACATTCAAAGAAATTTTATGCTTGATAATGGAGTAATATAATAATTATAATAACATTTTCTTATGTAGCAGCCAGTGAAATATGCCAAAGAAATTGATTGCAAACAATTCTGGACTAACTAAATTATCGAAAGAAATCATTTTCGATTAAGGATAAATTATTTGACTTTGCCTGACAAGTTGTTAGTGGTTTAGAAATGAGAGGGAAAAATTTATGCAAAGTAAAAATTTTTGTTCGTAAAAAAATCATTTATTAAAATTTCTTTGAATTAGTTACATAATTTATCCATCAGAGCATTGCTTAAAACTAGATGGGGGGTTTCATGGGTTGCAGTCTTAAAACTATTGAAAACACTAATATTAACATGCTTGTAACTTGTTTGCACATATAATTATTCTGATATGCGAATTATGTTCATTTTTCATGCTTAAATTTTAGTTAAATCCTTCATTCTTAATTCATCTTTAATCATGTCAGTTACACAATTTTTTTAAATTCATTACACTTAAGTTCCTGCTTATCTCTTTTTAATTTGTATTTTTATAGCATGACCGATGCTTGGGATGATGCTAGCCCTGTGCCAATGGTGCAGGAGTTACCTGAAATTAAATTATTTGGAAAATGGAGCTCAAGCGATGTTCAAGTCAGTGACATCAGTTTAACTGTGAGTATATTTTTTTCCTTTTATCCTTTAATTTCTGAAGTTTTTCTTATTTTTTTTTTTTTTACTGAAGTTTAACATGGCTCGACTCCATAATATGGGTCGGTGTTGTAAAATTGTAAAATCTCGTCAAATCTAGTGACATCACTTTCTTATTGAAACTTGTTCTTCCAAATTTAGGGTTGCAATTTATACTTTGGACTATAAACAGACTTTTTGAAATGTTTTAATTAGCATTCTTCAATACAATTATGTGGTAGTGCATCCTTTATTCTCAATTCCATAGGAAAGAGAGGGCTTGAGCTCACAGAATGTTTCGTTTTGAAACAAAACTCCAGCTAGAAACTGTTGCCAGCTTCATTCCAGTTTGGGAAAGCAAGCCTCAGCTGTTCATTATGTGCGTGTTAACTTTTGTAGCTACAGCTTTCACAGGCATCAGTGTGCATTAATTAAATTGTAATTTAGGCATCTGCTTTAATTTCCTGCCTTACACCAAAATGGTGATCTATGGACATGGTCATGAGCTCATTTGGCAACAGCCTTAAAGCAAGGCCATCCTGATGGGAGAAGGCCGAAGCTAACGTTTGGTGATGCCACAGCCAAGGGCGGTCAGCCAAAATGATCTTGCGTCAGCCTGCTTTCCTTTTCCTGGGCAGTAATGAGAAACAAATATATTCTTATCTTCCTATAAGCAATATTTAAAAAATACCTAAAGAATGGATTATTAATCTTTTATATTTAGACAATAGGATTATATCTTAGGGGAGTTCTCAAATAATATTAATTTTTGCTTGCTAATCAATAGCATGCTTTACAATACTATGTTTTTGGTTACACACCATTATATGCAGTTTAATAGCATTAAACATTGCAAACTCAAATATTTTGAAACTAATTAAAATAAATATTGTATCAAATTTTTACCCATAGTGTGACTAGCATTCAAAACTAAATATTTTCACTTATTTCCAAGCACTACAAGAAACTTATGTTTTAGCTGTCTCATCTAAAAAAATCGTACCCAGAAATTCGAGAGCTGCAAATATTAATATGTCACGTTAAGTCAAAATATTGACATTCAAGAGAGAGTTATGCATCTCTTAGATGTAAGATTTATCAGTATTTGCATTTAATTGTTAATATCATAATTTTAAGATAAAAATATGTTACTTTTAAATTAATCTGGGAACATAGCGATATAAATGCATTCCATTTCTTCATTACTCGATTTACGCATAAATTTTGACGTATTGATTCTTTTTGCATTTGTTATGCATAGGACACATATAGAAAGATGCTCAATGTAAACATTTACAGCAATTAATAAATTCTCATTTTCATAACTAAACATTTGTTTCATAAATTTAAATACTCCCCAAAATGTCTTTAACAAGATACTCCAGATTACTAATTTTAAATTAATGTATTAATAAGCATTGATTTTTCAATTTCTGGGGATTTTGTTTCTTTTTTTAAATGATCATTATCATAAAAATTTCAATAATTGATTAATTGAACTAAGAGAAACCCTGCAGTGGTACAGCAGTCTTTACATCAAAATGTTTAACTTCGGTAAAAACATTTTGCATTTCTAAAGAGGTTGAATATAATACTTTCTTCGAAAGTGCTTGAGCTATTTATATAGAATGGTGCTGCTCTATGGTATATAATTTTTTTAAATGGAATAGACTTGCATAATACAGCTTATTATCTGTATCATTAAAACATTTTTTAAGGGGTGTTGGAACCCAAAAATCTTCAAAAAATGGTGATTTCGGATTTTTGCATTTTCAAATTCTCTACACTTTTGTCTTTCTAAAAATCCCATTCTTTAAGCTCTATGAAAATTAGAACTGTAAAAAATCTAGTTTTAATTTGTCATGGAATGCTTTGATATATGAGGATTTTTACATAAAAATGCGTTTTTTTTATACTCGATGTACCTTTTCTCAGGAACTACTGCTCACAGGTATCTAAAATTTTGATGGCTTATTTATTAGGCTTTCTAAAATTTAGTGAAATGAGCTTTTTGTGATAAACTTAAAAAAAAAAAAAAAAAAAAAAAAAAAAACTGTGAGGAAAGTGCTAAATTTTACTATGCCTAATGCCTAACAAAATATTCTGTAAATTACTCTAAAATTCAAAATGTTTTAAAAGCTCATTTCAGTATAATCAGATAGGTATACTTTAATTACACAAAAAATTTCAAGCTTGTATCTACAGCAGATTTTGAGAAAAGGTACATCGAAAATGGCCAATTTAACATCGTCGGTATAGGGGCTGCTGATACCCCATAATTAGTCTCAGTTTGGTTCAACCTTTTATTCCTTATACATTTCAGTAAATAAACTAAATCAAATAGTAAAAAAAAAAAAAAAAAAATTTCCCCATTAAATTTCATTTTCAATAGCAGACACTATATCACCATTGCATAGCATTTATGATTAACATAGTTATCGAAAATTATGGAAACAACCTCGAAGCCACAATCATGGAAAAAATTTTTTAACACCTGTAAATTCTGAATTTTTAAATCATTTGGTTTGAGATTATGGACAGGAAACAGTGCAACAATTTCTTTATTTGAAACTAAGATTGAAGAAATCATAATGTTTTGAATTGTAGAAGCTTTTTGAAGAACCTTTACCGTTTAGTAAATAGTAAGTTTAACCCTCTCGCTGCGTAACTTTTTTTTTTTATCAAAATAGGTTCAAAAATTGTGTAATTTTTTATTACATATTTCAAATCTGCATGTATTTTAGAGTTAAAATATACAAAAAATTTTTGTAAAAGAGTTTTTTTCAATATAGAATTAGATCATAGAAAAAGGTTGTCAGAATACAGAAATTGAAGAATAATGATATAAAAGGAAAATTTTGAAAATTAATATTGCTTAAGTTATGAATTATTTTATAAAATACAAAGGTAAAACATATATACTAATAAACATATTTGCATAATGTAATATTTTGCATATCAATTTTGCACTACTGTTGAACGTTTTCAATAGAAACTGAATTTTCAGATTTATAACTATCTTCAGAGGAATCCGAGAAATTCTCATCAGTTTTGTTATAACTATCTTCAATATACTTGAAATCAGAGTCAGAATTACTATTAGTGTTGGAAATATCGTCAGGAATATAAGGAATATAGGTTATATCACTCGCGAAACACTTCCTGCCAGACATCTCTAAGCTCTGAAAAGCATGCACAAAATGCTATATTACGTATTCTTGTATATTTGGCAGAAATGTAAACAATGTGGAAATGTGGACCAGAATTAATCTTAAAACGGTACTTTTCCGTTTCGCTGGCACAAATCTCGCCAAGCAGACGTTATTGGCAACAACATACAGTATACAAATAAAAAATGTTAACAAATGTTAGTTCTAAGAATTTTTTATTTTGAAGGCATAAATATTTTAATAGAGCTTAAAATTTTGTAAAAAGCCAATAAATAAAAACAATAAATTTGTAAAAAAGACATTAATTTAAGAATTTATTATGCTTTCATTGTTCAACATCCTGATTCACTGGTTCGTATCACGTGACCCCAAGAGATCTCATCTCACGTAAACTATACTACCAAAATCTAATTCTCTCAGTATTTATCTACATTAATTTCAAGTTAAATCTTGTTTACAAATCTTGGAATACAAGTTTAAATGCAAAAATTGTTTCAATTCGTACGAATAGCTTACTCAGAAATTATGTAAAACCGCAGTGCTTTACTTCACTGGTGCATTAGAATTGCTGAATTTAACTCTTGACTTTGCCTTTACTATATTTTCGTCTTCGGTGAGCGGTGTGATTGCTTCCTAATTGACTTAATTGCCGAGAATGGTCTTAGGTCATAAAATTGAAGTATCTGGTAAATATTCTATGTAATTTTATGCCAGTATTGAAAAAAAAAAAAAAAAAATCTGATAAGAAATGCCTGCGACTTGTTTTGAAAATGAGGCGTGAAAGGTTACCAGCGAGGATATTCCGTTTGGCATTAGTTGTACCATTATTGGCGACTTTATCGCCTGCACCGGCAAAACGGAAAAGTACCCTTAAAACTTTATATTTTGCTTAAAAATTTTACAAAATAATCCAATTCTAGCTTAATGTATTTTTTGACCTCCCTCAAATAAATATACATGGCAAAAACATTCAATCACATATTTAATCTAACACATCAATAAAAATTAAAATGATTAAAAGTCTCTTTCATAAAAAAACCAGCATATATAATAGACTTGAGTAAATATAAATAAATATGTCCTTATTAGAATTGCTATAACTATCACTTTCCAGTTTTGCAAAAATATCATCACTGCAATGTGTGAGAAAATGACTCATTTATCACTTGCATATATTCTTCTTCTGTTAAATACAGTTACTTTGAATATATTTCACCATACCAGACATAACAGCTATATGTAGTGGCAGTAAAAGATACTTATTAAATGTTCTATCTAAAAAAAGTCATCTAGTATCCACAGTGCGAAATAAATGGTGATTCATATATGGCACATCCCGCCAATGAATGGCATTTGCTGGCGATGCACAGGTTAAAAGCAAATGGTATTTTAATTTTTCCAAATGGCAACAGTCTGATGTCCAGAAATAGAAAGTGTTTATTTTGAGCAGTTTTGCAGCTGCTGACTTTTCAATCACTAAGTTTTTTAAATCAAAAAGTCATTAAGTTCATGCAAAATCTGAAAGAAATGAAAAGGAATTAAAAATATTAGCTTCAAGGTGTATATTGTCAGATGGAGGATGTATTCAAAATTTGGTGGCTCTAGGTGGCACTGTTCACTCATCATACATACTTAAATCAGGGTGCATACGGTCTTTAAGAGTCCTTTAAGTTTTTTTGGAATTGATTTTTGGTCCTTAAAAGTCCGTAATTTCGTCCAAAATTGACAGAAGGTTCTTAATTTTAATCATTTGAAATTTCTGTCTGTTTTTACGACTGCCATTTTGAACGTGAATTAACATTTTGGAGGAATATT